TCTTCAATCAGAAAGCCTTAAATCTGCTACTAGCCTGGCCCATGTGGCAATGTATGGAACGGGTTATTCACAATCAGATGGGGAACTAGACGCCGGAGGTGAAGGACTACCCGAACTTCCACCAGGCCGGCACGACGTTGGGGACGACGACGGTGCGACCATCGGTGGAGGTGACACCGAAGGTGAGCGCCTGGCCGGCGAGCCCTGCGAGCGACTGCCAGTTGGTGCCCTAGTTCTTGGCCATGGGCATCTTGTCCGTGGTGCTACCCCCTTCACCCACACCGCCTTCACCGACCCACTGCCGGCAACGTTGGTGATGAGCACCAGCACGAAGTAGTTGGAGCCGGTCATCGTGAACTGCACCCCTCCCTACTTCACTCACGCCGTCCTACGTAGGCACAACAGTCAGCGCACACCATCGATGATCAGACACGTACATGAGTTTTTTTTCTGAAGTCAAACCATCCAAGTAATAAACTAGTACTGTACTACAGGTACCTCTAATAGGGCACTGGCATGATGCCGCCCTTGTACTGGGCGATCTAGAGCCAGGTGGGCTGGGCCTGTTAGATTGATCTATACTAATTGGGCTTTTGATCCGCGTCCTGATCGGGGGCGCCCAACCCTATCTATGGTTGGTGGGTCATCGTCGCACAGCACCATAAAAAGGAGGTGGGGGCCGGGGCATAAGGCACGAGGTTCACTGCCGCCGCCACAATCCCCACCTACAAACCCTAAGCCGATCTATAGGGGGGCACTGTGAGCGACGGAAAATGCCACCGCTTTCGCCGCCGCCACTGGACCGCGCCTCCGCTACGCCTTAGACACCGCCGTCGGACTCCACTGCTGCCCTACATCGACACCATGGCTAGCTCCTCCGCCAAGCCTGCCGATGGTCGGTGACATCTCACCTTCCTTCCTCTTTCTCTCTCTCTCTAAATCATGTTCTAGGAAGTTTTATCCCATATATAAGGTTGTACCGCTAGATCTATGTCTAGGTGATCCACTAAGTTTATCAGGGCCATGTCGAAGTGACGGCGGGGCGGGTTGCACCAGCCGTCGTCGTCGCCGGAGAGCTCGTGGTTGGGCGGGCACAGGTTGGTGGCCGTGACGGTCACCGACTTACTCCCCGGCAGGCACCACTGGGACGCGCCGTCGTCGCACGTGACCCGGTAGCACTCCCCGCACGCCGCGCCGTCGTTGAACAGCGCCGAGCTCAGCGCCACCGTGTCCTTCCCGTACCCGAACCAGTACAGGTTCCATACCCGCACGCGCCGCCCATCGTGCCCGAGGCGTCGCCCCCGCCATAGAACGTCGCTGTGCCCTTCGACCACCCGCTGTCATCCGCCGCCGCCGCTGGCACCAACGGCCACGCCGCGGTGGTGATGATGATGAGCAACTGGAAGCGCAGTGGTCTGTGCATCTCCATGAACTTTTACAAGTGCGCTGGTACTAGCTTAGCTAGCTACAAAGACTGATGCGTTACAGTGAAGTGGGGCTGATATGCACTTACTTACAGCCTTAAATATAGGACCTGCCAAATGCTCCACTGCGCCGGCTTGGAACTCTACTTCTCACTTCTCAGGCCATGGCAAATCAGAACTTCTGACTATATGGGTGGCCGGTGACACGTGTACTCGCCCGGCTTAGAATTCATCTCGTGGATCGGCGTCGGTGATCGCTTTCTTTTCTTCTTCGTAGCTTCTGCCATGGACACATGTTAACATGGCGGGCTAAGAGCCTAGATTCTTCATCAGATCGATCCGGTGCTTCGCCCTTTCTACTCTATCCTGCTCACCATGCTGTATCAGCAGTGGCAAGACAGGACCAGGTCAATGACACTTGCGATTTGCATCTTCATGCAGCTCTCGACATTTTGAGCCAATTTTCCATGATGAGCTCGTACATACCAAGTGTTAGTCACGTAGCCCAACCCATATTTGTCGTGCCCAGCTGCTGGTAGGATTCAGCCCACTGGCCGTAGAGACAATGGGCTGCAAATAAGTCAGCTGACGGCTTGCTTTGGAGCAATTTGGAACCACAAAGTAGGTCCGGATGAACGCAAAAAATACTAAAATAGCACTGCATTGTTGTGAAACACCTTGCTAGCGTCTGATATCTAGTTTTTTCTCTACATCTCCACGATAAATAGAGTATATAAAAGTGGAAGAACGTATATAGATACATAAAGTAGGATAAAATATTCTTCATTCTCTAAATATTGATAATTACTATATAGAGCTTCCACGCATATATAGTTTAGATAATGTCTAAGAGTTTGGGAAGAGACCACATATAGAATAGACTAGGACTATGATTTCTTATCCTTAATATTTTGTAGGAAAAATTATCACCATATAATTTATATTTTGTAGGAAAAATTATCACTTTAATGTATACTCTCTCCGTTTCAAATTATAAGATGATTTGACTTTCATAGATATATAGCTTTTGCTATGCACTTATGATATACATTGTACATTATATCTAGATCTCATTCCACACCCGGTGCTAGGCACCACCACGTCGCCAGGTCTGCCGGCCGCTTCCAAGATTCGGGCACCGTCGCCGCTCCTCGCCGGATCCGAGCTCCCACGGCCGCTACTGATGAGCAACCGCCACCAGATCCGAGCCACGGCCACCTCCGCAAGCCCCAGCCGTCGTGGAAGAGCCCCTGCCGCCACCGCCGTAGAAGAGGTCCCTAACGCCATGGCGCGAGTGAGCCTTCGCCGCTGGGAGCCGCAGCTCGCCCTCGTGTCGCCGCCGTCGGAAGAGAGGCATGCGTGGGTGGGGAGAGCTAGCAAAGAGAGAGAAAGAGGAAGAGAGATGGATGCAGCTGAGTCTGTGGGATGGGAGGAGAAAAAAGCTAGGTTTCTCTGCTTATATACTTCGAACCGGTTACCGGGTCAAGATGGGCCACACAAAATGGCAGTGGGCTTGGCCAAATTAAGAAGAGGCCCGCTTTTGAAAATGGCTATCATTTTCAGGGGCGAATATCTTAAGAGGTCCGTTGCCTTAAATCTATTTTTAAGTGAGCTAATTTTTGATCAACATCGTAAATAAAAACGTCTATCTCCGAAAATCCTTGGGTATTTAAGATACGGATGAGTTTTGTGACCGCCTCCGTAAATCCATTTTAAGAGATGACCAATTTTTTACCGCCACCTTAAATAAAACGTCCACCTTTGAAAGTCCCCAGGTATTTTAAGAGACGGTGAGTTTTGTGACCGTCTCCGTTAATGATTGGATAGTGTCTTGTGAAATCATTTATGTCGTAGTGCTAATCCACTCAAACACACATTTTTTAGGAGAATCCACTCAAACACACATGGATTGGTGGATACAAGTGCATCCAAACAAACCCCCTTCATGAGGCTAGGATTAACATGAGATTTGGCCCAAATGGTTGCCCCCTACCCAAAAAAACTACTATAGCCAGCCCAAGTGCATCCAAAAGAGCTCCATATTGAGGTTAGGATTAACAAGAGATTTTGCCCAAATGGTTGCCCGCTACCAAAATAAATAAATAAATAGTTTAGCCTAGGCACCAGCGCGCCCATGCCATGACAGTAATCCTATTGTTGTTAGTAAGTCGGCAGCACTTCTTTTCGAAGACAAGTCATCAACAATTTCACCCCGAGGTCAAAAACTTTGAAAGGTAGCGTAGTCTAGTGGCCAATAGTCAAAACCTTGCATGGCCATTTCATTCTTTTTTTAAATATAAAACTGCCAACAGTAAACTCACATGTGGTCTGCTTCTTCTCGCAATAAGCAAGCGCCATTTTGGCACATCCATCGATCAGATCCACGCTAATTAACCTCGTGTCCAAGCAAAGGCAGTCGCGACAGAATTAACTATTTTTTTCTTTTGCTTCTTTTTCCAGCAACAATCATTCATCGTAAAAGCGGCGGCCGGCATGGCGGGCACTAGGAGCTCGATGAGACCGCCCGGAGACCCATGAAAACCCACCTCAGCCATGCCAACCGCATTACGCCTAGCCGCTAATGCATAACAATGACGCTAAACAAGATCAGGCCTTCTTCTTCTTTCTGAACAAGTTTCCAGAGCAAAAATGAAGGGGAAATCATCGTGCGACGAGCAGAGAGCCGGCCGGCCGGCATGGCGGCCGCGGCCGGCGTGCCGGCGCTAGTAGAAATTTTGGCCGTTGGTGAAGGTCTGGCCCAGCTGCCAGTTGGAGCCGGCGACGTTGTAGAACTCGAGGAACTGGCCGTTGGTGGCGGTGACACGGAAGGAGATGCTCTGGGTGGTGAGGTCGCTGTTGGCCTGCCAGTTGGCGCCCCAGTTCCGGGACATGGTGATCCACCCCGTGGATGAGCCCTTGATCAGCACCGCGCTGATGGACCCCGGCCCGGCCACGTTGAAGATGAGCACCAGCTTGAAGTACCTGTTGCCGTTGATGGTGAAGCGCACGCCGCCGCTCCTGGAGCACGACACCCTGCAGCGTGGGCCAGCGCGCAGTAAGCAATATGCATGTACCATGTCAGTCATCAGTCGTCCGTCGAAGCGACGAGCAGCTAGCTCGTAGCACCAGATAGTAGCAGTTACGTACCTCTGGAAGAAGACCGGGATGATGCCGCCTCTGTAGACGCCGATCTTCTCCCAGACGGGCTGGGACATGTCGAAGTGCTGCCGCGGCGGGTTGCACCAGCCGCCGTCGTTGCTGGGCTGGGAGTAGTCGGCCGGGCACAGGTTGGTGGCGGTGACTGTCACCGTCACGCCCGGCTTGCACCACCGGCTGTTCTGCTGGTCGCACTGCACCTGGTAGCACTCCCCGCACGCCGCGCCGCCGTTGAACAGCGCCGAGCTCAGCGCCGCCGTGTCCGTGCCGTACCCCGCCGAGTACAGGTTGCCGTACCCGCACGCGCCACCTGCACATACATAACGTCGCAATGCTGTTCAGCTCTTGTATCGCATGCATTCACTATATATGAACTGCAACCAAAAAGGCCGGGCCTTGCATTGATCAATAATCACTCACCCATTGTGCCGGCGGCGTTGGCCCCGCCGTAGAACGTCGCCGAGCCCCTCAGCCACCCCGCCCGGACCGTCGCGGCGAGGCACGCTGCTACGGCAGCCACCAGCAGGCGGCACAGGTCGACCTTGCGCGCCATGTCGATCAGTTGACAATGGATACACAGGAGCAACTAACGTTGGTGGGCGAGCTGGACGATGCAACGTAGGAGGTGATGAGTGATGAGTGAGGGAGAGGGCGGTGATCGCGGCGGTGCTTAAATAGGAGCGCGGCGACGGAGCGGCCGACGTGCGAGGCGGAGCTCATCACGCGCGCGGACCCCGACGCGCGGGCTCACATGCCCATCATGCATGCCGCACCCAGACGCTGCGCCGTGCGCCTTAAATGCCACGATTCCTCTTTGTTTTCTCCACCTCCCGTCCGTCCAAAAAGTCTATCTCTGGCTTCAGAAGTTCAGAGTGTTCGCTCTCGTCCACTGGCATTTCGAATCGAAGAAGAAAGATTCTTGAGAACGAGCTCTGGCTCGGTTGGCATGCGGTGCAGGTGAGCATGCTGCCCACCAGCGTTCGAACCCCGGGTTCGGCGCTGGTGTTCTCACCGGTGTATAGTTGGTGAAAAAAAAAAAGAAAGATTCTTCTGCAGCTCTGCATGCGGCCGGCCGGCGCGGCGCCTCCATTTTTCTATGCCAGCCAGCCGTAGCTTCTCTGCCACCCGGTGATCCAAGAAACCGACCATTTATTCATTTTTCAGTGCAATTGATCTGGCCAATAATGAAAAAGATATACATACAGATCGAGCAATGCACTGATCGGTGTTACGTTTTATGATACGATACGTACGGTACGTAGTACGACTAAACAAACAATACAATGATTAAAAAGGTTTCAGGGATTAGTTTGATGATTTGTTGGTGATGATAGCCGGAGAGGCAGCCGGGAGTGTCACGTGAACTCGCGAGACTCCAGTGCGTGGAGCACACGGGATTACGACCGGATTTACGGCGAGGGGGTTGCGTGATTACCGACGAGCGAGCGCGAGGCCGGGTCCCCGGATCGAGGAAGCCTCACACACTGCTGCATCTGCATGGCCCCGTGATCACGATGGAGCCCTTGGATCGTGCCGTTTGACGCGCTTGGTTTAACCTTAACCTATACCTAACTAGCCTGACAGTTAGTGGCTAGGGAATTTAGCTGTGTGTATACAGTTGGTTAGGTAGGTAACTGTAGCTTCAGCCTCTCAGGGAGTTTAGCACTGGCTAGAGGATGATCTAGCAGAATAGGGTTCTCTAGAACCCTGTTGCATTGTCAGGTTGATTGGAATATCTACGGAAAGGAACTTGGTTAGTTACTATTCCTTACTCCCAAGTCAACTGTCACCACAGGGCCCAGGCCACCATTGGATGTGGACTTTTGGAGGAAGCCACTAAGGGCAGCTGCTTCTGAATGTACTTTATTATCTTTAGATTCCTTTTAACTGATGCTACGACTTGATTGGTTTATCTAGTGTGGTTAGATCATATGGTCAAACCACTTGATTTGAATGATGCAGGATATATTTTGGCTTTAAGGTTGCCACACCTGGGTGTAGATAAGCTGATACATAGGCAGGTGAACACACTTGCACTCTTGCTCCTCCACTCGTGCTGCGTTCTATGTTCTCTTTGCACTTGCACTGAAAACTCAAAACGCATGCCTCTGTTTGGAACCAACATTTGATCACCGACATTTTCAAACACCAAGCAGCTAACACTGTTTTGCATATATCCACTGTACCAAGCCAGCAGATGTATTACACTAGGAGCCAGCTCCCAAAGGAATATGTACCACCAGAGAGGCATACAAATTTATTCAATTGTTTGCAGGAATAGTCCTGATTCCAACCCCAACCGAGGGTAGTAGACGCATTAGTATCAACACTTCAAATCCTAAACAGAGTTTCCAAACTCAAACACCACCCATGTAGATAAAAGTTTTTGAACACATCAAGGCCCCAAATTTAGTTTCATTGCTTGATGAGCCCAATATTATGTGGCTAACATTGTTTTGCAGGGTTATTCACAATGGATTAGTCATATTGAGGTCACATGGTTATCTTGGCCCCAGATTTCAGAGTTGAAGTATTGGTGCAAGGATATTCACAAAAATTAAGGTGACATTAATGTCTAAGTGCATGACTTGGTGTTGGGAGGCACTTAGATGCACTATAGGTCTTTGTTGTTAAAAGAGGTCAGGACTAGTACCTTGACCAAGGTTTGAGCTCAGAGTATCTTGGATGCACACATGTGAAACACTCTTACTAAATCTAGTCAAGAGTGACTCTAATAGGTGGAGAATTTGTTAAGAATTTTAAACAAGTTGAATTGGACGAGATCGAACTTCTGATGAATTCACTGGACTAGTTGATCAAGGTTAGCGGATCATCCGATAACATTGTTAGGCATCGCGTGTGTTTCTTATTGATGTTCACCGTATGATGTGGTTATGGGGACCTTGTGTCTAGTGCATTATCTAGTGGCACTTTGGGACTTTAACTTGGATGTGACCAAGTTACCGCCTTACAGGTGTGCACTGTATGATTTGGTGGAGCCTGAGTGACATATGATGCATAATGTGGCAACTTTGTTCATGGTCCAAGTTCAAGTTGTCGAAGTTACTGATGTGCACTGCATGATTCGGTGATGCCTTTATGACTCCCTAACGAATTATTCAGTGGTACTATGTACAACTTGGACATGTGACATGCTTATTTATGTTTATTGTAAAACATTCATACTCTAACCTAGAAGGAAAAGATAAGGAATCCTAATCCTAGTCCGTGTTCTATGTAGCCTCTTACTAAATTCATATGCCTTGTTAGGACTATATATAGGATCTCAACATTGTAATTGTAATAATCAATATACATATGCTTCTTTGGCCAATGCTTATTTTACAACTACTCCAAGACTAACATAGATAGGTGTCTTCATGGTAAACATAGCTTCATGCACATACACAATCTATATCCAAGCAAATATCGGACCACTATGTAAAGATGAACTTTCTCAACTCCGCCAACCAGTCTACACATCCACAATATAGGTTAAAGACACACATTTCTCGGTTTAAAATAACTCAATAGTTGATCTGGCACAAGGCATACATTGTCAAATAGTTCTCTAAACTTCACGCGGAACCGTCTATTAGTGTAGGCCAAGAGCTTGGCTTTCTCTAGGCCTACTCACTTCTCACGTACTTAAATTAGTGATTAGTGCCATGTTCAAGCTACACTAAATTCTATAAATTTGGATTGTTTTAATCTCCTCTATATAAATGATCCTTTAATAAAGAATTATAAAAAAGAATATGCATGCCTGCTTTTGTTACCTTTTCTATTGCTAATATATGCACACTTGGAATGTTCGTTTTTCATAGAAAGTTTTCAGTAACAAAATCAATTTACTCGAAAAAGATATGTCACTATATGATGGACTATTAAGATCTTAGGATATTTTTTCAATTTTTATTTATTTGTTACTCATATGTCACAATGTGATGTGGAAATAATCCTAAACAATAGTTGGAACAATTGGCAATTTTAGTTGGATTTAATTTAATCCATGGACAAATCATGAACCATTAAAAATTGACTAGCTTGATTTCATATATAACAAGAGCATAATCTAGACATGTATATAACAATACCACACCCTAGGAGGAGATAAATCAGAGGAGTCATGATTGGCACATATGCTAGAAGTGATGATCATATCTTCTTCTACATCAAACATATATGCTAAGATTCTAACTAAACACATATGCAAGTGTTGATGCAAAAGTAAAAAAAACTATGATTAGGGATGAAAAAGTTATATAGAGTAATAGGTAAGAGCAACTCCAGTAGGGCCCCAACTTGAGCCCCCATAGCTAAATATGGGGGTTCAGGCCAAAAATCCAACTCCAGCAGGGCCCCTACTACGGACGACAAATTTGTGTGGGAACCCAAAACCTCCCACCAGACCCCATTTCGGTTGGCCCAACACCTCGGCCCCCATCCGGTCGTTCCTCCCCACGCACATACGAACCGCTTCTCCACTACTCGCGGTGCGTCCCCTTCCCCTCCGGCGAGGCCCCCCACCCCTCCGGCGAACGTGACCACCCGCCTCCCCGTGCGCTTCTCCCTCCACGGCGGCTAGATCCATGGAGGGCTCGGCCATGGCGCACTCCTCCCGGCCATGGCGCACCTACTGGCGGGCGCATTGCTCCGCCGCGCCGGAGCAGCCCATTCGCGCTTACTTTCTCGCAGCCTTGTTCGTCGCCTGATCTCGGCCTGCTCGCCCACCCGCCCTGCGCGCCGCCACCGGTGGTCCTCCCCTGCCCGCTACATGTAACTGCAGGCGGCGTGTCCTCCCCATCCCGCCCCACGTGGCGGCGTGCCCTCCCTCGCCCGCCCTGCTCGGTCTACTCCTACCGTCGTTGGGGAGGCCGGAGTGCCCTTCTTCTCCCAGGCCTGCTCTGCGTTGAGGCAAGGAGGGAGGACTAAGGAGGAAGATGAGATAAGACTTCTTTTCAATGACATATTGGCCCCACTTGTAAGTGACTGTTGTTACACTTTTGCGGGCTCTGGTTTGGGGGCTTCTGTTGGAGCAGGAATAAAATAGGGGCCCAACAAAAAGTAGGGGAAATCACCCAAATTAGAAGTAGGGGCTCTGATTTGGGGCTCCTGCTGGAGTTGCTCTAACTAAAAAAGCATAGGGGGAGGGGGAATCCAAATTAACCCCTGAAAGTGCAATCAAGCCCTAATTATGGGTTTTGGTGATAATGACCACGCAATTAGAGAACTAATGAGATTTATCGAGACGACAAGCAGGGAATTTATATTCGAGGATGCTAGACGAAACGGAGGAGCCCCAATTACAAATGTAGATGGCTTCAAATTCAAAGGAGATTTAAATTCTTTTATATTTTGAATATGAGTATAGGAAAAGTTCGTACTATAAAGGGGGACACAAAGTTTAAGCTAATATGTGCTACCAAGTGCTCAAACAACCTCATGCATCCTCAGATTCACAGCCAAGACAGTCTACACTTCACTATTACCCTTGCTGTCTTGCGTGGTGCAGCACTGCCGCACTTGAAGAGAGGCACTGCCGCACTTGAG